TTCTTACTTGGGTATAGTTTCCATTCTTAATCTCTTATTTTAACAGATTGCATCTGTTCCAAGTCAGAAATAATCATGCACGTATACTGTATTTGTTTATTTCAGTAAGAAAATAGCTGCTTTGACTTAATTGATTTTATTAGGTTTGCAGGACATGTTTACAGAGGCAATATACTTTTTTTTTCCTTCTTCAGGCTTTCACATCAATAAGTTAATTAAATTCTAGTTAAAGAATTCTACCTCATTTGTCCCATGACTACACCTGTAGTATGTATTAGTTGGGGTAGGATTACTGGTCAATGGATGAGCAAGAGAGCGTAACTTGACTTTTGGATATCGGGAACTTGAGGTTTTAAAAAGTTTTTTTGCTTGCAAAGTGAGCAGATTTGATCTTGGTGTCCTTGAATCACAAATGTGGAGCCCTGCATAATACCATTTTTGTAGATCTTTTAAAATATATTTTTCAGAGTAAAAGAGCACTTTAAGTGTTTATTTTCATTCAGCTACATATTCTGCATCCACAAAAACAATACTATATTATATGACATTTGCAACTGAGGCACACAAGAATACATATTATGTAAAGAGAAAAGGAGTACTTGTGGCACCTTAGAGACTAACCAATTTATTTGAGCATGAGCTTTCGTGAGCTACAGCAGTGAGCTGTAGCTCACGAAAGCTCATGCTCAAATAAATTGGTTAGTCTCTAAGGTGCCACAAGTACTCCTTTTCTTTTTGCGAATACAGACTAACACGGCTGTTACTCTGAAACCTGTTACTATGTAAAGAAAACTTTGTAACAGAATGACTGAGGTATGACTTACTTTTCATTAACAGATGTACTATATAAGTGGATACTTCACTTGTAGTTGAACCACTCATGGAGGTTAACTTTCTTATGTGCAATACTAAAAGTTGAACATTTTTTCCATTATAAACCAGGATTCCTGAAGATTAATGTCTTGGCCACCACAGATGACTTTGGGCTGAAATGTGATGTACAATTTGTCAATCTAGCTGTAAATTTTAAAAAATCCATCTTAAAAGTATATTTTCCTTGCAGCGTTGCCAGAAATTTTGAATGCAGTTTTAGATTTTTAAGATCTAAAAGAGGAATTGCTTAGTTCCCCAAATTTGTAGTATGTCTTTAATAATGATATGGCTTTTTGATACAGAAAGTGATGGAGAATTAAAAATTGCTGAAGTACTGAGCCATGTGTTTTAGCTGCTTTAAATATGTATTAATATTCTGATGCCTTATTTACTTAAATGCCATGCATTTGCATAAAAGAAGTGTGTGCCCATATTAATGGACATGTGGGGAATTATTAGGTTAAAGGGTAAATAAATGTCAGCATTTGCATACAACAAAATAGTGGCACATATATGTAAATTGGTGGTTCTATCCTACATAACAAGAAGTGTCATTCTTTCAGCCTCATTCTTCTTTGGTGTTACAGTTCTTCTGGAAGAATTTTGCAGATATAGAATTATGAAGTGGTGGTGTAGTTAAGGCCCCAGACTGTAAATCAGGCGATCTGGGTTCAGTTCTCAGGTTTTCTCTGTGCTTCAGTTCCCCATCTGTAAGACAGGAATAATACTTTCTTTCTCTCACTCTTTGACTGTCTTGTCTATTTATATTAAGTTCTTTGCTGCAAGGATTATTTTTTACTATCTGTATGAACTACACCTAGCCTAATAGGGCCTGAGTCTTGTTTGGTTCTTTTAAATGCTGCTATAATACAAATTAGTAGATGATTATGTGTTATGGGCTACTTACCACGTTAGCGGCTAAAAAATGACACTGACATATGTGTATTTAATCTCAAGGCTTCTGAAGCAATAAAGCAGCTCAGGCACTGATATCTGAGGTCTATAGTGTTTCAGTGCAAGGAGCTGAAAATAACCACCCAACAGCAGTGACCTGATGGTTAGAAATAATCAAAGATTAGGGTGAGTGTATGGTCAGCCCTGCTGGAGTTGCTCTCAGCCCTGAGAGTAAAATCTACAGTCCATCATTTCCTGGGTAGCAGGGGCTGGCCCACTGGAACCATGATCAATGTGCAGTCTGACATCTGAAAGGACAGTAATTCATAATAATTCCAACAGTAACTCAGAACTGGAAATCTTCCATGTGACGTTTTAGTCTGTGTACACCCACAGAGTCTTTCTCCAGAGCAGGGGTGTCTAACCTGAGCCTGAGAAGGAGCCAGAATTTACCAATGTACGTTGCCAAAGAGCCAGAGTAATACGTCAGCAGCCCCCCAGCAGCTTTCCCTACCCTCTCCCAGCGTCTCCCACCCACCAGCAGCCCCGCCAGTCAGTGTCTTCCCCTCCCCGCACCGCCCTATCAGCTGTTTTGTGGCATTCAGGAGGCTCTGGGGCGGGGGGGGGGGAGGAGTGAGGGCAGGCTCAGGGGAGGGGGCGGAAAGGGGTGGAGTGGGGGCAGGGCCTGTGGCAGAGCCAGGGGTTGAGCAGTGAGCACCCCCTGGCACATTGGAAAGTTGGCACCTGAAGCTCCAGCCCTGGAGTTGGTATGTATACAAGGAGCAGCATATTAACTTCTGAAGAGCTGCATGTGGCTCCTGAGCCACAGTTTGGCCATCCCTGCTCCAGAGCCACAAGAAATGGAATGGATGCTTAAATAAACTTGCATCTGCTGTTTGCCCCAGTACACATTGCAAGCAAGAACAGAAAAAAAATCATACTCCTCTTCATTTTTATAAGAGTGGTGGATGATACAATGCTTACCTGGCCTGTGTGTGCCAAAATTGGGCTGGCAACATTATCTAGCTAGGTCTCAGAGATCTGGGTAACAATCCATGATGGAATCAGAAGTCGTAGCAGCCTTATTCAGACCTAGTAGTGTGTGTGTGTGTTATGGGTAAGGCTAAGATTATGTAACAGAGGTCTCGTAAGACATAGAATCCGTGACTTCCAGAGACCTATGTGACGTTTTCCACTTCAGTCCTGGGGCAGCAGAGCTGGAGCTGTTGGATCATATTAAAGAAGTTCTGTATTAAAATCACAAATGAGTTTGATTCCCCATAGTTTAAATTCCAGGGTATTACTAATTAAGAGGTCTCTTGGTTTTTGGTACTGTTTGTCTCCCTCTATGTGTGAAACTTGCAAGCTGCTAATTGTGTTAGTACATTCTAAGACAGAGTCTGTTCTCAAAGCAATTCACAGAGAGAGAGACTCAAAGCAATACTCTAACAACAGAAACAGCACCCAGAGACTCGCCGCCCTTTTGTTGTATTAACAATTGTGATTAAAATAGAGTTAGAGGATGTATGTGGATGGATGCTTGGTGTGGATAATAACTGAATGATCAGGGAGGTGCCAGCCTAAGAATCCAGTGTCCATAAGCTGAAGAAGGCGTCAAGTGGAAATAACCAGAGGACCCCCGGAGGGCAGACTGGAATCCACCCAACAGCCTCAAGAATGGGAGAACCAAAGAACAAGATAACATCTAGCAGCACGGAGCCGTCAGGAATGTGCTATCTGCTGATTGATTCAGCAACAGCATGATGAAGCAATTCTCATAGACTGGCATAGGAAGAAATTCCTATAAAAATAGACTCTAAAAAGTGAGAACTTTGCGGTCTGATTCTGCAAACCAACTTCCAGGAGCATCAGATGAGCATCTGACAAGGCCCTGCTCCCTCCTCATGTCCAGGCCACCTGGCCAGTGGCTTGGCATGAGCAACTCTAAGGCTAGTAACTATGATAACAACCTTGCAGAACCTGTGTGTGTGTGTTTGTATGAATGAATGTGTGAATAAATATGAGATTGAATGGAATGCTATAACTAACTGCTTACTATGATTCTTTCTGTATTCACAATAAATGTGGTATTTTGCCTTTTTCCCTTTAATAAGATCCTGCTGGTTTTTATTTTATTGGTATAACAGAGCTGTCAGCCGGGGGGGACTCCACTGCTCCCAGCAGGTGGGGGAGGGACACGGACCCTGGAGCCACAGCAGTGGTGGGTGCTGGACCCCCTTCCATCTCCATTTTGTCACAGTTATTTTTAGTAAAAGTCAGGGACAAGTCATGGGCGTCCATGAATTTTTGTTTATTGCCTAAAAAGAAAAGGAGTACTAGTGGCACCTTAGAGACTAACAAATTTATTTGAGCGTAAGCTTTCGTGAGCTACAGCTCACTTCATCGGATGCATAATGTATATATAACTGCAGTCATGAGAAATCCCCTAGCTACCACCTGAGCTGGAACAAGAACTGTACCAGGGGAAAGGATTCGACCCAAGCTAGGAAGGAGTCCAGTCTGTGATAGAAGCTTATTGAAACATCTCTGAGGGCTACTGAGGGCTACTGAAGGGAAACATCTCTGAGGGCTACTGAAAGAATCATGGTGAACCAGTGACAGTTATCCACTGACAGGACAGCCACAAGAGTATAGCATTGTCTCCATACCCAGGCTGAAAACACAAGTGACCAGGAAAAAGGAAATCCGAGGACACACTGTGATGTCAGTGACTCACCAATTCCTCCGCCCTCCCCCGATCTCCTGCTGGTAATAGCTCACCTTAAGTGTTCACTCTCCTTACAGTGTGTATGGTAACACCCATTGTTTCATGTTCTCTATGTATATAAATCTCCCCACTGTATTTTCCACTGAATGCATCCGATGAAGTGAGCTGTGGCTCACGAAAGCTTATGCTCAAATGAATTTGTTAGTCTCTAAGGTGCCACTAGTACTCCTTTTCTTTTTGCGAATACAGACTAACAAGGCTGCTACTCTGAAACCTGTTTATTGCCTGTGACCTGTCTGTGACTTTTTTATTAAAAATAACTGTGACAAAATCTTAGCCTTAATTATGGGTATCAAAAGGAGGCTATTAGATACTAGGTATAGTGATGTCGCCTAAACTTGCAGAATTTGTTGAGTTAAAAAAAAAAAAGACACAATGCATGAATTTTCTTCTTGGCCTAATGAACTAGTGTTCTTTTCATAATGTACTTTGTTTCTTTTTTCAGGTTTTCTCAAACAATGATGAAGCCCTCATTAACAAAAAGTTACCCAAAGAACTTCTGTTAAGGTAATTCTAGTTAACTTGTGCATAAAGAGTTACAATTTGAATGTGATGCTTAGATTTGTATGGCTTAGTGAAATGAAATATACTGTTCTTATGTAAGTCTATGATTCAAAATAAATAGTTCATCTGATTTTATTTTTTGACAGTCCTTGAACTTACATTTTATTCTGAATGGAGAATGTTGCAAAATATATGGCTTTGCTCCGGAAATCTGTTTTAAAGTATGGTAATTACATTATACTGTTAAGTGCCAATTTATGCATTGGTAATCTGGTCGTATTATCAGATAAAGCAGTAAGAGACTATATTTGGAAAGCTTCGGTTGATACAGGATTCTTAAAAAAAACAAAAAAACCCAAACTTTTGGGATCTAACAAAAGTGCAGATATTGTTTGTCTGCTCTGTTAACTGCATATTGAATAGACTAAAAACTTTTCCTTGTCACACAGTATTACCTTCATATTCTATATGAATAGCATTCTGTCCTTAATGCAATTATTCCAGTGGCTGTTTGGGCTTTTTGTTATAAAATCTCTTTTGTTATTAAAAATAAATGAAAACATGAAAGCTTTCAAAAAGTTCTTTTAATGAGACACCTCCTGTAACTGTTTTTTTTGTTGCTGTGTGCTACATATAGTTCAAGCAGACTGGGAATGAAAAGAGAGAACAAGCAGACTGAGATTTTATTCATGCTAATTCAGCCAGCCTTAGACTTGCTGGAGTGTTGTTGTCTCTTCTGGACAGGAGTTAGCTACAGTGTATACTCAAAAAATACAATATGTGGTTAAAGAATTGATGGATGTCCCAGCTCTCACACCTGAGTTGAACTTTATTTCAAATAAAACTTTAACCACCTATAATGACAACATCCAGTGCTGAAATATCTGAAGACATTCCATTTTTGTATGAAGCCAAACCTGGCCTGAAACAGACAGCTCCGTAGTTTGCTTGACATGGTTGTAGTTCTCATTACAGCACTTCCTTTATGCTAACTTGTCAATATATACTTTGGTGCAGTTGCCATTCTTTGTGGCGGTGTCACTAGCACTGAGTTCACACTACAGCCTTCATACATTGAAGAGAGGCATAGGTTAACCAATGTGTCCTCACGTCCTTCCTAATTTTAAGTGGAAGAATGCTTGCAATGCTTTGTATTTTCTATCTTGTTTTAAAAGGACTGTTCCCAAAATATTATGCATGCTTCAAATGTGTCCATTGGCTAGAACACTGCTATTCTTGTGGCAACAAAGAAACTAATTTATGTTTAAAGAAATTAGACTAATTTTTTTCAAGTAAGCTTGAATTTTCTTTAAGGGAAAAATTAATTCTTCACAGTGAACGTGGTGTAGCTTGCATCTACAGACTTGTTAGAAAATCTCTGGCTGTTATATTAACACACAGCACATTGCACAGTGTGCTATATTAATACATTTTAAAATATTTCACGTCTGCATATGAACTTTCAATTTGTCAACATTTTTTATTGTCATAAATATTTTTCACATCTTGAAATTGCAGAGATTTGATATGAGAACAAATTTCCAACAATTTCATTTTGTATTGTTGCATTCCAAACTTGTGACCCAGAGGCCCATTAGTGCCAGCTGTCAGAAGGTTCAAAGTTCTGTAACAGCAATTCCTAACAGGCCTGACAAATTCACTATAGCTAGCATACTGCTTTCATGGTATTTATCCATAAATTATGTCATGTGAAGTCTCTAATAAAAGTTTCTCATACTGATCCTCAGAATGATTGTGACATGTATTTACAGATGATATTTAAGGAGTTGTGTGTATGTACTGAAAATACAGTTTAAAGTCTATATCCAAGGCAGAGTTGACAAAGGGGTTTCTGCAAAACAAAGGATGTATATTCACCTTTCTGCCTTGGTTCACGTGTAAATTAAACATCATAAGCCAACACCATGGAAGCCAAGCCTTGTTAGCATACAAAGTCAACATGAGAATATGAAGTCCTCCTGGAGACAGCACACCAGGGAATAGGGGGGGTCTTCTTAACTCTGGGGACAAACAATGACTTTGAGAAATATAAGGGTAAGGCAAAAAGACACCTCTTTATCCTGCACCTGAGGAAGTAATCAGGGAGTACGATCACATTCATGATAACCGGATCCCAACCTGCACTGTTTGAAAGCACTGTGAAAGACTTCTGACGTGAGAGAAACTTCTTTAGGCAGAAAGTTAGCCTGTTAAGTTTAATGTTGAGAAAGTATACACTGATTTTGTTTTATATGTAACTTTCTGTTTCCATTATCTATACTCACGATCTCTTAAGTCTTAACCTTTGATGACAAACTTTATGATTAGGGCCCTACTTGAATTGCAGGATGATTGCCAAAAAAATTGAGGCTGAGCTGTGGACAAATAACAATGGACCTTATTATTTGTGATAGTAAAGTCCATTATTACTTTTCCACAGGTTTCCACTCTTGGCCGCCCAGGGGCTGAGAGTGGGGGCTCCCACTGTCAGAATTGCTATGGAAGCCTAAAATTGTGGAATCCACAATTTCTGCAGTATAGCAAGTTAAGTAGAGTCTTACTTATGATTTGCTTTCACTGTAAATGTAGCTCAGTGCTGTGATATTATATAGGAGCTTATCTTCAGTTGAGTGAAACAAGCTGGTGTGTACACTACTGTCTTGGGGATAGCAAACTTGGTATTTCTGTGAGTAGCCAGTGATGGGTTGGATATCACAGGGGAATGCTTCAAAGGGGTTTGGGGGTTGGGGTATACCTATTGCTGACCTGCAAAGCAAAGTGAGGGCTACCATTGCCCCAAAGAGATTCTGTTCATGACTAGCAGTTTGGTGGTGTCAGGATGCTGGCACACATTTAAGCATGAGCGAGCCTGTCTCTCACTGAAGGCAGGAGGGTAACAAGGTGACTCTCTTAGGCACCCCAAGAAAGCATCATAACTGTATATGGACTACTTGTTAAAATATAATTTGTCCTGTCCTCCTCCTAGCAGATACTTACATCTTAAGATTTGTCATGTTCCTGAGATACCTGCACATCTGACCCTCTCATGCCCTCCTTGAGGGCATCCACGTAAGTCTCAGGCCTCATCTTTCTTATGGCAGGATCTCACAAGTCTCTCCCTCCAGACCAGGGACTTAAGCAGCAGACTTCTGCAATTCATTATGATTATCTCAGCAGGTCTGACTTTAATTAAACACCCCCAGTCCGGTAATTAGCCATTGTTCACTAAGCAAAGTACTGTTTGTTGAGAACAAAAACATTACAGAGAAATCATGTAATACAAACAATAAACAGTTTACATGTAGGTCTAGCTTACCAGGCAGTCATCCATTTTCCACATGGAGAGCCTGATAGAATTCATGTATTTCAGGCCCGTTCTGTAGGGCCTGTCTCTTGTACAGTTTTCTATCAGTTCTTGGATAGAGTGGTGAGTGACTTCTCTCCCTAGGTCAGGGCAGTAACTTTATATGGCTTCAGTTTCTCTATCTGCGAGGCCTCTTGAACCAGGTCATACCAGTATATGCTATTTTCCCAGGGAAAAAGACTTCTACAGATTTGTTACCTGCATAAGGGATTTGCATTAATTACCACTCCAGTGATTTTATTTCATTCAGAAACTAATTTTTAGCTTATTCGTTGAGCCAGCAATGCAATTATGAGCCCGTTCATAAAGATACACATAACATTTATAAAGTTGATACAGTGATCTTTGAATAGTCCATGTGCCAATTGTATCTTCAGAGTAAGATTCTGAGTCTCATGACTTCCCATTTCCTTTTTTAGTTCTGCATTCCAAATATATTTGCCTTTATTATGGCAATAACCAACCACATCACTGTACCAGGTATCTTTCCTGATGCCTCAAGACACTGCTGTCACACCTGGGGGGAAGGTAAGCTGGTACGGTGTATAGGTAAAAAGTGGCTGGTGGTACCGGTCTGTACTCAGCTGATGTTAAAGCGCTGCCGCGGCAGGGCTTTAAGGTCCTGGTTAAAGCGCTGCCCCTTTTGTGCCCCCCCACCCCAATCAGTGGCCCTGCCCCAGGGGTGGCACAAAAGGGGCAGCGACATTAAAGTGCTGTGGCAGCAAAGGACCATGCTTTAATGTCGTTAACCCTTTTGCACCCCCCTTGGGCTGCCGATGGGGTGGGGGCAAAAGGAGCAGCTGCCCTGGGGCTGCGATTTAAAAGGGCCTGCAGCTCTGGGCCGGCGGCTGCTACAGCAGCAGCTGCCAGAGCCCCGGGCCCTTTAAATCGCCGTTGGAGCCCCGGGTGGTGCGGGCCAGGCAGTGTGGATGGGCTGGCTGGGGGAAGCTAGCCCCCAGTCCCGCCCCTTCTTCCTGAGGCCCCGCCCCTTCCAAGGGCTGGAGCTGGCCCCCATACCGTTAAGTGTTGAATGTTACTTTCATGCCTGGTCACACCCCACTTATCAAAATTCCTTTCCTGCACCTTTTTCCTTGCAGCCACTATTCCCTTCCGAAATAATATTTTCTTAGCTAATCACCTAACAACCAATCAATCATTTCCAGTGTGTAGTCTGCCTGTTTTACAGTATAGATATTGATTTGATGTGCAGTCAGTCATACAAATGTAGTGCTGGAAGGCACCTCAAGAGGTCATATAATCCAGCTCACTGTGCTAAGACAGGACAAAGTAAGCATGGACATTTCTGGACAGGTTTTTGGCTGTTCTTAAACTCCAATGACGGGGATTCCACAATCTCCCTTTGAAGTCTAGGTCAGTAGGAGAACCTCAAAGATATGGACACCAGAGTTACAAACTGACTGGTCAGTCACACACCTCATTTGGAACCGGAAGTGAGCAACTGGAAGTAAACAATCAGGCAGCAGCGGAGAAAAATACAACCAGGTACTGTACTGTACCTCTATTGCATCTTAAAGGTAGGCACATCTGGGTTTTCACGGCACTCTTGTTAAGAAACTGGCTCTGAGCCTGTCGCCTGCAGTCACTCCAGGTGCACTAGCAGCCTCGGGGGCTAAAACCA